AACAACAACTATACATATATATATATATAACAACTATACACTGACAAACACAAATCCCTACCTTAATGAGGACACACACATATGAAAACAAAACAAACAACAAAAAGCAATGACGAAAACCTTAAACCAGTCCAGTGTGACTTTAAAGACTCTACAAGAATAGGTGTCAGTAGTTTCAATGAAGCTGTGTCTGTCTGAGTTTGCATTACAGCAAATGTCAGCCAAAGGCTATGAGGTGTTTCCTGGGGATTCCATGAGTTCACACAGAATAAATGAGTGTTTACCCTCTACACACAAACACTCTATTTTTTCATGTAAGTAAGAGCGTACAACCAGCGTAAGACCAGTTTTTCAATTCAATTCAATTTAGTAACAGAGCGCCAAATCACAACAACAGTCGCCTCAAGGCGCTTTATATTGTAAGGTTGACCCTACAATAATACATACAAGACTGTTTCTGAGAGAATGGAACAAAAACACATTCTCTAACATTTCTATTTACATCTTTTTCCCTGCGAAGCTATGCCACAGCTCGAGTGAAAACAGCATTAAGCTTGCTGTTTGCCAGTGTGCAGTGGGGAACTAGGTCAGCAGCTCATGTGAGCTCTGTCCTACATCTGCTTTGCTACATCTCCAGCAGGCTGCTTGCTGGAGAGGAATCTTCAGCTGCAGTAACAAATCACAACAGGGTGTAACAAAGATTTTTACACAGTGGCGCTACCTCCCTTTTTTGTTTTTTGTTTCTATTAATGTGACACATTTTTGCATTTTACACCATTACTCAGTGATGAAGGCCTCTTCTCCTTAGCAGTGTTTTTTTTTAAACTCCTGAAACATATAAATAAGATACCAGTAAGCATTTGTACTACCACTTGATAAAGAAGTCAAATCAACACAAATGATTTTGTGTTGGAGAGCTTTACCTCCAATGGAAGAGCCACACGCCACATTATTTTTCTTTAATAAAAGTTCTGAAACCAAGTCGTGATATGTACCTTTAAGCAAGTTACGTCTACAAACAAAGGCACAAAAGCAGGCTGAGATCAGGCAGAATTATGAAATTGCTGCACTCTGACTTGAGCATCTAGAACCAGAACGGTAAGTTACATGTGTGTCGAGAAAAGATAAGAAAACTTATTATTTACAATTAAACCAGAATTTAGGCATTATTGGTTGTCTACATGTCTGAATTTAAATAATAATTTTTTGTTATATTATTCTTATTTTTATTGTTTATTCTTAAATCGTGACCAGACATACCTCCTCGTACATAACGCTAAAATTTAGAAAATTCTTTGTACTGTACTGCTTTTTGATTAATATTTGAAATTCCTGGAGAATTCCCTGCCCGTGATGCTAAGCTCGATTTTTGCAGTTTGTAATCACTGACCCACTGCAGTAGCTTCCTGGGTGTTATTGCAACATATAAGAATGATAACAAATACTCAGATCCACCGTCTTATGTTATAAAATAAATCTTTTATTTTTATCAAAAGTTGATCATGACAACAATATAATGCGCAAATGGAATAGACAGCAACAGAGTATATGAAAAACTAGTGCAAAAGAAAAATCACAAATACAAAAATATATTGCACTTGGTAATCTGAAGTTTTACGTGGAAGAAGTCATGTTTGGACAACATTCTCAATTTGATATATGCAACTGTAAACATTTACCTTTTATGCTTTGCCTTTGCCTTTCTTTTTTTTGCAAGCACAAAGCTTCTGGATAAATCTACAGCGAGAGAAGCTCTAGTTTAGAGCTGAAACCAGCAGGCGACTTGTGGTATTTTATCTTAGTTAGTTGCAGTTGTGCTTTTTCTGTGGACCCAGTTGGGGTTTACATCTGGTCTCTAAACTTTCTTTCCCTCACACACACACACACACACACACACACACTATGTGAGCTCTAAACGCTCGAGGTGGTCGTTGATGTGACACATTTCTGCATCAGTGATGCCATCTGTCTTTTTTTTTTGATGAATTTTCAATGAATTTTCATCTTTGTTCAGGGGGGACAGTGGGGACAGTGGCAGCTTCAGGCCACAGTCACAAGTTCAGCCATCTGAACTACTGCAGATAGCTCTTATCCTGTCACTAATGTGCCCATTTAGAGTGAAATATTCTATGTATACATATACATATATATATACTGTAGCGTATAGGCCTGCGGCAATCTGCAGTATAGAAAACCACTGATAGTAAAACAGTAATAACGGCATGTGCAAAATTCACTGTGAGGCAGGAGGAGGCTTCTTCTGACCACTTGGAGTAGTCTTTGTTCTCTGCCTTGTCAGAGTCATAAAGTGGTGTTAAAAAACTGTCTTTTTTTGCCATGTCTTGAGCACACGATATGGTGGATCCAGCACGGCTTGAAATCCCTGGTCCATCACTTCAATGGTCACCAAATACTCTCTCAGCTGATTTTCCCCGGGTCAGGCAGAGTCCAGCCTTATTTACGGTGATATATAATCTGGTGAGAAGCTGGCTGTGTGGGCCAGGTGGCTGAGAGCAGCTCTGTCTTTTTGTGCACAGGCTTCAGCGATCCCGGACTCTCCTCAGCGGGAGGGACAGGTGTCAGGTCTCCTGACCTCCACAGTCCCTTGCACCTCCAACGGGTCAGGATAAGGATCGACCTAGAGGGTGGAAGGGGAAAACGCAGCTTTATGACTACAGGATCCTCGTGAAGTGATAACTATAACATTGAAAAAAGGTGAAGTTTGTTTTTGTGAGGCAAATGTATTTTTGTGTGTTATTAGCCTTTATTAGTTGCGTCTACATCTTGTACCCACACAGGTGCTGCTTCCTAATTCTGTTTGTTAGTGATTTCACTTTGTTTTGGATAGTTCTGAAAATCATAAAAGTGGTTCAAATTTTATTTGTGAATTGGGCTCACTGAATGACACATTATTTTAGATGTTTTTGTGTCTTGTCTGGATATTTTTTGTACAAAGATTGGATTTCATTCTAGGTCTGTTTATGTTGTTTGGGCACTTTTCCTGTGAGGTGACGTGTGTGTTTGTGTGTGTTTGTGTGTGAGTGTGATAAAAGTACCTCCGAATACAGTGGCGGAGGCAGATATCTGAACTCTGTGATGTATGTTAGCAGAGATCCGCGGTCCTCACCCTCCATGTCAGACCTATCACATCCCTGCAGATAATCCTGCCTGTGAGACTCTGATATGGCCAGATCGCTGTAGCTTGGTGGAGCTGCAATAAACAAACAGGCGTGAGTTGACATTCTGTACCCTGTGCACATAAACATGCATGCAAGCATCTGCATCTGTACATACCCTCAGGTCTCTCTGGCAGGCCCAGCCAGCTCAAAGTGCTGCAGTTGCTGCTGATGCTGGAGGTGCGGGTGGTGCAAGCATGAAGAGGTATGGTTCCTATCACCAACGGCAATGAGAGTGACAAATTCAAACCACCTGGAATGTCCACGTACACCTGCAAGCAGGAAGGAAACATGCAAAGGAGACAAGTGAATGAATGTTTTAGTGTTTTAAAAGCAGGTTTATGATGAGTTTATTATTGTTTAAGGTTATCTGTACATCACAAAGAAGTAATATGTCTTTTGTTTTTGTACCAGCTTATTAGCCAAATAGTGCTAGGGTATTATAAAAAGGTTCGTCAGTTAATCAGTTCATATAATCAGTTAATCAGATGTCAGTAGCAAATAATTGTTTTTCTTTTGTTTTCTTTTATTTTTATTTTATGAAGGCATTTTTCATTGGATTTTAAATATGCTTAAGTCCAACTTATTTATCAAGTTGACTTTGAATGGAATATGCAGTTTTATCAGACAAATGTAACCTTGCAAATATCCTGTATTCTGAATCCTTTGTTTTATGCTCCTGTCAGTGTCCCTGAATAAAATCAGCAAAGGGAGGCTTGGCATCATATTTCATTTAACATATGAAAAAACATGTGAACTCACCATAAGGGCATATTCTACTTTGATGATGGGACAGTCAAGGATGGAGGGGGACACAGGAGGGATTTTGAGCAGTTTTCCCTCCCAGCTCTGGCTCTTCCCTTGTGGCAGAGGATCTCCTCGCACATTAGACACCAGCTGCTGGATCTCCTTCCCCTTCCCCTTAGCAAAGAAGGTCTGAGTCTGGTAAAGCGCGGCCTTAGGGACCACAACGCGTGATGAACAGTTCTCCACCTCAGCAAAGATTTGGATTGACTCACCTTGGAAAGAGGGGAGAAGAAATCAGTCTGTCAGACTGAGAGAGAAGCAAGATAAGTGAATTCTCAAAAATAGAAGAGAACACCTGGGGGAAGTTGTAGGAGGTGTGGCTTACCTGGTGTGTAGCCCTTTCGCTCTATTTTGGCACTGAGGGAGATAGGGCCTGAAGCACAGAACCAGCAGCACAGCGTTTTCTCCTTTGTACCAGCCTGAGGGGCCTGTTAACACATATGATCTCTTTAAACTGCTGGCAAAAGATTTTAAAGAAACAGCATTCAACTCAGAACCTGGACCCTTTAAAGGAGCAGTTTGACATTTTTAACACCACTGTTTTCAGCAAGAGAACAATGCAGCAAAGGAAGAAGAACTAAGAGTAACACCACAATAAAAGCTGTCTATCTTTTTATTTGTGTGGATAAATAACATGTTACTTGTAGATGTGCTAGCAATGTTTCCAGTCTTAATGCTAAGCTAAGCTACACGGCTGCAGTGCACTGGGAGTCATACGGATCTGAACTTTCCTAGTAAAGTGAACAGGCTTACCAGCAGCAGGGGGGTGTTGATGTCGATGTGTTCAAACACAATGAACTCCTTCTTCACTTTGACGGGGAGCAGCCATGGACGGTGCAGTTCAGCTTTCACCCAGTACCTCACACTGCCATGCTTCCCTTCAAAGGAAGTCGCCAGAGCCCTGAGAAAGAAAAAGAAAAGACGGGAAGGGAGGACGATTAAAAAGTGTGGGTGGTCTGTGGTTATGCTCTGTGTGCAAGTTCAACATCCTTTCCTTCAGAACAAGAACCAGTACAACAAGTCCTGGTACTCAGAAAAAAAATAACTGAAGGTCAGCGTCTCTTACTGCTGTCCCTCATTTTTAAATATACTATCAAAACCTAGGGGTCAAATACCTCCAAAGGTTCACAAGGTAAAACTCAGGGTCCTGGTATACAAATCTGTCTCTAATCTTTGTTTAATCTTCAAAAAAAAGAAACAAAATTAGGTAACTGTACCTGTCTGGGCCTTCAAACAGTTATATAAACAAAACCATGTGACAAATACAGACGGCAACAGATACTTTGCTTAAAATTTGCTTATAGACATCTGAAACATGAAGCCTCAGCTGCAGTTACACAGGTCACGGAGCAGGTTCATATTCGTAAGCGAAATCTTTATTTCAAAAGTAACCAGTAACCACATTATTGTGCCTCTATACTGATACTATTTATTTATCCATACCCGCTCCACCCCCTTATTTTCCTAATTTTGTATTTCATCAGATACATTTTCCTGATTACAAATGTTTTGTTATCCAAGTTTCAGATTTTTTACATCATCAACAAGATTGATGTATCTCTCAATTACTTTGGTTATGTGAATATTAGAAGATAGTATCTGTGGAAGATATGTTTTTAATGAGACAACATCAAGAGTGGAGACGGCAGTTAGGTTAATGTAGATGTACCGAAATAAGACTGATTTCTAACTGAAAAGTTTTATGTAATGTGAAATATTAGCTAGTGGATACCACCATGGCAGTTTTGTATATTTTTGTGTTACAACAAAAACGTATTAGCTTAAAAATGTTAATTATACATAATCTTGTCCATGATGTGGAAGCACTCATTTGCAAAAATGTCCAGTGAAGAAACTAAATGTCAATTTTGGATAATGTGGGAATAAAATAGAAAACAGCTCCTCAAAAACACATTTTTCTCTGTGTTGCGTTACATTTAAGCAGAAAATAATAACAGAAAATATTAAAAAACAAAAAAACAAACAAAAACAGGAAGTAGAGCTCATTCAGTTTTCTTTATTAATGTATGCATTTATTTCTTCACAGTCTTGTCAGCAACCATGTCATGAACATGTTTTGACATCACATTTCTTCTTGTTGATCTTTGAGAATTTTTTTAATCCTTTTGTTAAATTTTGATTTCTAAAAACAATTTTGTGAGTTTTCAATACAGTTTTAATGCAAATTATGTAATTAAATGACCTAAAATCAGGTGATTAGCCTTTTAAATAAAACTGTGTGGAATAACTAGTTCACTGACATGAGGCAACAACTAAAGATTGTTTTATTGTAACAGGACAATAGTTCTAAATCTTAGGTTTAATCTTCAAATGTTTCTTCTCAAGACTGTAAAATTGTAAAACCTCAGCTCTGACGAAAATAAAGTGAAATGCAGTGAAGGGCAGAATTAATGATGAAATTCTCATGTACATGTACTCACATCTGAGGCAGGTTGAAGCTGAAAGCAAACTCATGTAAGCCTGGGTGCAGGACAGTCACGCCCTCCTCTGGACAGTCCTCATCTGAAAGACAGAGAACACTGAGACTGAGACTGAGTACACCTGCACACTGCACATAGCCTCCTACATTTTGGTACAAGCTATGGATGCACAATGTCACGTAGCCTTATTACACAATGAACTCCAATTCACCTCAGAGGGATTATTAAACACACACATGTACACACACACACACACACACACAAAGAAAGGTATTTGATCACGAGGACAAAAAGGTTTGGAGATAAAAAAAAAAAAAATGGGACAATTGGAGATGGAAAAATGTCCATAAATTATTTTTTTTTTTAAAGCAAAACTGCATTTGTAGCTTCCAGATATGCTGCTCTTTGTCATATTAAACTTTGCTATCAGCTGTTTTCAGCCTCTGAAACAAACAAGCCCTGCTTTACCTGTGCCTGTAGGGTATTTACAATAGAAAGCACCATGAGCCAACCGTACTTCTAGATAAATAAAATTGAATTGGTCTTTTATGCTTAATATATTTGCTTTGTTGGTCAATCACAACAAGAATTAAAGATGCAACCCTGGAGACCTTCTGAATTTTATGAGGTTATGCCCTAAAAAATGGGTTGTTAGCTATATCTTACACTTTTTGGGAAGCACTCACATCCAGTCTTCTCTCTACCGTCACAAAATTTATTGAGAAACTCTAGTAACAGTTGTTCTGTTTGAATGCGAAAAAGCAGCTTGTTTGCGGTGTCAGAGGGCTGCCAAAGCAACACACCCTGTGGGAGAAGCAGCACTTCCTCATTTCATCTCTTTTTGTTTGTGTGTGATATTGCGTCTAAATGCTCCCGCTGAACTTCAGCTTCCTTCCACCTCAGCTCTGCTTCGACCTCAGTCTCTGCTGTTTATGTATGTCTGTGTTTGCTATGAGAACTGTCATCAACGGCCAGTGTGTGTGTGTATGTCAGTGCGCGTATAAGCGTGCGCCCTGTCAAGTCACCGGCAACACGGAGCAAGCAGGAGTAGACCGGTATGAACCAGACTGAGCAGCTTCCTTCAGCTGGAAACTCCAACGCACGCATTACAACTCGTCCTCCCATTGGTGGACAACGTGACATGGATTTGCAAGTCTCGCTCTGATTGGTTCAGCCCCGGCAAGCCCCTGCCCACATTTAGCCCAGCCATGTGGTGTGTGGCATGAAAGAGGAGAAGGTGGGGGAGGTAGAGAGGAAGGGTGTTATAGACACAGTGACAGCAAACTCCAGGTAACCTGCCGCTCTCACGCAAACTCTGAAACCACTGAACGGATGAAGGAAAAATGTCCTCTTCTACAGTCATGCCCTGTTATCAGAAGACACCCAGCTAGTTTCATCTTTCTTTTCTTACAGGCACTTTTGTGCTTAGAGAAAAGAGATATGACCCACGTAGAAGCAGAGTGAGTGAGAGTTTAGTGTTGAGGCTTAATTTTACCAGCTGAGCTGAAATAATACTTAAAGTACTTTTAGCAAGCAAAAATGATGATATGTCTGCAAAGTCACCTTTTAAATGCGAGTGTTTACATCATTAGACGCTGGATATGTTCTGGTTTGGTTGATGTAAACTGTAACAGCCATTATTCAACTGAGCAAAGGATGACAATAATAAAACTGGATTTTTTAACAGGAGATATGTGGAATATCCTGCCCTTTCATTATCTGCCCAAACCTGACTATATCCAGTCACACTTACCAAGAATTTTTTTTAAAATCAATGAAATGACAAATAAGCCGCTTAAATTGAGTTTTCTATCTACTGATTAAAAAATTGCATTTGTTCAAAAATACTGACAGACCTTTAAAAACATACAACGACTGTTAATGGTAAGTTAATCAGTTAAACTTAAAAAATTGCAAATATCTGATACTTCAAGGCTCAGACTTTTGAAAATGTGTTACTTTTTGTGTTGTCACACTATTGTACTGTGATTTGGTCAAAGTGAGATCTGCAAGGAGGCCGTTTCGAACTCCAGGATGTTGTAAAGATGTTTTCAACTTACAACAAAGAGCCAAGCTGCATCTCCTGGAAGCTCATGAGATTTTTTGGAAGTCTTCAGAGACAGCCACCAGGTGGATGCAGCACTTTGTTTAAGTCTAAATACTCTGCCAGACCTGTGAAATTGTCTCTTTTCTTATTGACCTTTGACCTTTCCACCATCCATCCTTGAGTAAACAAAGAGCAAAAGCTGTGCCTCTAGACTGCTGGGAAAAGAAGCTCTGTCCACAGACCAGACTCCTGCAGGCTGCATCCTTTCAGTTTTGAGATTATTCATCTTCCCAACCTCTAATAATTAAAAAAAAAAACCTGCTGAACAGACAGTTAACGTGTGACCTAAATGCTTCATGTGACATGTTTTACTCATACCCAAATCATCTGGTCCTCCAACACAGGTATACAAGTGTTAGGAGCAGCAGCTGATTTTACAACACACACGCGCTGAGCGTCAGCCTGGTCCTCCCCCCTCCCTCTCTCGCTGGCAGTTTCTGAACAGGTTTGAACCGCTTCTAACAAAGGGAGTTGCCTGTGCTAGCCTAGTTGAAGATGTCATCAGTAAAAAGGTCCTTGTGCCATTAGTTCAACCAAAATGTTGCTCTAAAACACGAAGCGCCATGTTTTCGATTTTGCTCTTTTTCATCAAGTGTTTCACTGGAAGATTTCAACTTTTTCCCTCCTCACTGTGATGACAACATCCAGACAGTCCACATATAAAAGCAGACTCCCTCATCCCTTCGCGTATCAAACGTTTGCTTTAATAATTGGTTTTAAGTGAGGATGGATCGCGCCTACAGCTGCTGCATCAGTACCACTGCGCGGAGGGTCCCGGTGTTCTGTGGCTCTGGCACATGACTATGCACTCCGCGTTAAGAAAGTTTGGGGACGAGCTTCTGTCAAAAGTTTGCAGTGATCAGTTGCGCCGCATCACTTCACACAGATCACGAAACAGCAGAAGAAAAAGGAGCAACTCCTTACCTCTCTCCTCTCCTATCAAGGTGTCGTAATGATGCAGATATTCCACCTCCTCTGTGTAGTTCTGAGTATAAGCCGTGTTTGCTCCGGCGTTTCTCGACTCTGTCCACCGGACCTTGGCGACTCCTCTCGCGGTTATGTCCAAGCTCTTGACCCGCACATCCCCAGTGACCTCCACAACAACCCTCCCCGACACCAGGTCTCCTCCGGAGAACACCGGCAGGTTGTTCTCATTCAGACTGTCAAAGTAGATCGCCAAGGCCCTCACTTTGCCCAGTACCATGATGACAACGAATAGACAAGTAAACAGGATGAGGAAAAGTGTCTATGGAGAACAAGTTGTGAGTAGAGCCGTGTGGCACAAATGCATGCGCCTCGCTCCGGGTGCCCAGCGCAGAGCCGGGTCTGCGGCTGTCAGTGATGGCTCATCTGGTAGCTGATGGTCCGCAGGAGATCTGCGCCCTCCTCCTCCGAGTGCGCCTGTGCTTCTCTACCGATCTTTGCTGGCGTCTGCTTCCAGCGCTGCGCTCTTAAAGCTTCCGTGCGCACAAATGACCTCACTGAGCATGTGCGCACGAACTGGCCAGCCTGCTTACACAGAAAGGAGCACGGCTCAGCCTCCGCCGCTGACATAATACGACTTACAGACAAGACGTTTGCCAACTTGTCCCCACAGGGTTTGTCACAAAAAGAGAGTTTTTAAAAATAATCTTGGAACGATAAGACGGTTTGTGGAAACGAATACACAGGCACGGTGTGCAATAAAGAATTGAATAAACTGTTTTAATGCTCCCAGTTCCTTATTAATGTGACGTATTGTCACTTAGACGATTAAGTGACTGCTGCAACAGGCATAGGCCATATTTACTGAGGTATCAAATGGCGATTTAAAAGCTATCGTTTTACTTTGTATTATTTCTACCTTTTTAATTTATGTTTTAATTTATTTTTTATATCCACCTTGTAAACCGCTCTTGGGTGACTCTGTCTTGTAGCTACAGATGCCTTTTCTCAAATGGCAGCAATTTTTTTTAAGTAAACATCCCAGAAGTACTGAAGACCGTTTTTGTAAAGATGATTAATACTAAGCTAACTTAGTAAACCTGCTGTAAAATAGACTAAAAATAAGAAAACGAGATCTTAAGACATACATCTCAGAACATCAATATCCTGCTGCATGCAGATGATGATGTTTTTTCTACCTGGCAAAGACTGATATGGAAGTTTCATAAAAGCTGACAACAGCGATGAAGTGTATTTATGAGTGGCTGACTAAGTCATCTCTATTACAAACAACTGTTTGCATGATTCTATCAAAACGACCAACATCAAGACTATGCTCTGATGTTGTTCTGAAAGGACAAGAGCTTTTTACACAAATTTAAATATCTTGGTGATTCCACCTTATCATTTGAGAATCATGTTAAGAACATATCATTTGACCTACACAATATTAGACAAATTAGATCACCACTGCCAAAAAATGCAGCCAAATTGTTTCTCTTTTCTATGATTTTATTCTCATATAGAATACTGTTTCAGTAATTGATCAGTGGCAAGTACACCTACTTTAAAACCAATATAATCTTTATTTATAAAGGCATTTAAAGTGTTAGACAGAAAACCATTTCCCTTCAATATGTTAAAAAAAAAGTGTTAAAAATGTAAAATATTTACGTTAGCTTTTTCTGTTTATAAGGTGGAGCAAGTCCATGCAGGACTGGTTGGGGGAGTTTGTGTTTAAATGCAATATCAATTCAATTCAATTCAATTTTATTTATATAGCTCCAAATCACAACAAAAGTCGCCTCAAGGAAATATCAATGGAAGAGTATCCAGAGGGGATTGTGCAATACCTTTTAGACAAACAACATTCAGTAAACAGGTGTTATCAGTTAAAGGTAGTGAGTTTTGGAACAATATTCGAGCTGTAATAAGAGAATTTGCTGCCTTCAACACATTTAAAACTAATCTCAAACGATGGCTAAAGAGGAACCAGATTCAAGATCACTAGCTTGATATTAATATGTGTTATCTTTAATGTTGTATGTTTTTATTTATTTGTTGTTTTCTGTTTCATTGTATTATAACATTCTTTGTTGTAATTTTATGTATTTGTTGCCTGGATTAGATTGTTGTACATTGCCTGATGGCGTGCTAAATTCCTTATTTATTGTTTTTGTCTGACCTGCCAGGGACTGCAGATGAAAAATAGACTTTTAGCGAATTCTAGAATATTTACATTTATCCACTGTCCCTTTTAAATAAATAAACTATTGTCCTGTTGATGACCCAGTTTTATCCAGGCTTTAGCTGCCAAACAGATGGCCTCACATTTGACTCTAGAACACTTTTGTATGCAGAGGAGTTTATGCTCCACTCAGTGACGGCAAGGTGCCCAAATCATCATCCCTTCACCAGCAAGCTGACAGTTGGTCTGAGGTGCTTGTGCTTTTTGGTTTTCTCCAAAGGTGCTGCTGTGGATTCTCGACAAACATCTCCACTTTGGTCTCGTTATTCCAGAAATCTTGTGGTTTGTTCAGATGTAGCTAGGGATGGGAATCAAGAACCGGTGCTTGTAGAGAGCCAGTTCCCAGTAGTTCTATTCGTTGGAAGTGTTAGCCTGCCTATCTATCCTGCTTATCGATTCCACTTGCACATGCACTACAATCAGCTGAATTAAGTGTGCGTGTTGGAGAAGCCGATTCAATTCAATTTTATTTATATAGTATGAAATCACAGCAACAGTTGCTTTTCCACAACAACAGGTCATTTTACAGAGAAACCAGAAAGTAATGTAACAAGAATTAATGAATTACTTTCTCCTGGGAGTACTTAAGTAACATAATCCATTACTTTTAAGAAAGTAAGTAGTAGAACACTTTCTTGTTAAGCGAGACCTGCCCTCCGCTTGGAGATTGCACAGTGATAAATTTACAAAAGAAAGAGCATCTCATAAATTAACAGGCATTAAAGTCTTCTTCTTTTACTCTAATTGACGGGGAATGACAGATTCCCAGGAGAGTTTTATAAGTACTGAGGGAAGAATTGGTACCATTATTGCAAAAGATTTTTAATTATACTTCAAAACAAAGAGTCCATACCCCCAGAGTGAGGCAGTCATTTTGGTTATTCCCAAGAGCTGATCTAAATAGAGTCTGTGTGTGAGTACCCTGAGTGATGGGAGTTACTCAGACCATGGCCCAGATTTGTAGGCAGGGTTTGGGTGTGGAGTGCTGATGTTTGTTAACTGTCCAAGTGGCCCAGGAGAAGAAGCTGTTTGTGAGGTTATAGCTGTGTAGTCATTGAGGCTGTCTATTCTAGTCTTTTTGTTGTTGGGAGTGATGCTGGAGGCCTTCAGACAGGTGGGAATGGTGCTGTGAGTCAGGGAGAGGTTGAACAACCTGGTGAGGATCCCTGCCAGTTGGTCCCACAGACTTTGACCTATAGCATACCAATGTGTGGCGCATATTGACCAGTCAGTGTAACGAGCCAGGATTTAAAAAAATATACACAAACATACCATTCTAACAAAAAGACTGGAGGAAGTGATGCCCTTTTTAATTGATGAGGATCAATCCACATTTAGAGCTCAATGTTATTACAACAAGGGAAACGGAGTATAACATTTTTCTTCAGGCAGACAATACCATGATCAGAATTCAGAACGAGGAGTTTCTAGATTAATTAACTTGTTGCAGATGCAGGGTATACTCTTAATATTAATGTTTAAACTTCCCCTAGTCTCTCAAGCTATGAAATACTAGGAGACCTTGGGAGCTACTTCTATATGTTATTTGGGTATAAGATTATGAATGCAGTCAATTTTTATTGAAAATTATGCACATATCAATAAAAAGAGAAACAAGGCTCTTGATAGATGGGCTCTCCTGCCATTAGAACTTGAGTAGAATAATGGTGGGAAAAACTAATATCTTGCCCAGACTGCTCTGTTTGTTCTAGTTTTGCTTATCCACATCCGTGATTATCAGTTTAGAGAATAAGACAAGGTGATAAATAGATTCATTTAGAAAGGTAAATTTCCTGGTGTGAATTATAAGCTCTCCATTATGACACAATGAGGGAGGGATGGACTTACCAAAGATTATTATTTATCAGCACAAATAAAACTGTTATACTTTGATGCAGTCAGAAAAGAGGAAACCCATAGAGCTGTCTTTATTAGACAGGCCTCTGCAGATGTTTACACAGTGCCATAAAATGTGCATTTTATGGCAACCAAGAATTTATATATTATCGATACTAAAATGATCTCAGACAGATGTGAAGTTCCTCATCAAGATTTCTTCTTATATCTCCAATTCAGACATTACTTTGAAAAGAGTATCAAAGGACTCATATGAAGTATATCAACTATTACATTATTACATAGATGGCTTCTTTCACTCCTCTTTGAGTGACCCACACCTGTTTTCACACCTTAACTCATGTGATTAATCAGACGATCAATAGCAGGTCAAAGACATGAAAGGACGCTCCCAATAGGGCTTAAATCTGGGACTCTCCACCAATTGCTCATAGAACTGAAGAAGCTTTTCAAATGAACCATTTAAAGCGATTCAGTGGACTTGAATGACTGGAATTGCAATAAATAACTGAAAAAATTGGGGTGTTCTAAAACTTTTGACTGGTAGTGTATACAGTATATAATAGCTGAAATATCCCAAACATGAAATAAAATAAATGTGTTTATACTGATACACATGGAAGCTGTAACCTATCCCAGGTGACTTTGGGTTAGTGGCTACACGCTGGACAGATTCATCACAGGGCCTTTCTTGCCATGTAAAAGTCTTCTAAATGCTTGACATGAAGATAAAAGTAAGTCTGTCAATTCAAAAGCACAAGAAATAAAAGTTTTACTTCTTTCATAATGGTAAGATAAAAAAAACAACAACATCCCATTCTCTGTTTGTTTGTTCATCCCCAAACTGGTCACTTCTGGGATCTTCTGTTGATGAAAAGAGATTTCCTTCTCACCACGGTCTCCCTCTCTCTTCTCACCGTCCTCATAGGGGATTGTTGGGGTTTCTGTCTAATCCAGTCTTGACCTCACAGTTCAAAGTGGCCTGACATTCAATATTTTGGTGCTATATAAAACTGAGCTCAAATAGATGGGCAGAGAGCAAAGAAAAGACATCAGTTAAAATCTGGCTTTGCACAGTTTTGCCTGTTTTGGTACTTCCTCATTCAGCATGTGTCTGTATGCTTTCTAAACTAGTTTGCATGGAAGCGATATAATTATTCACATAACTTTCTTGCATATTGGTATGGTGCAGGCTTCTGTTGCAGCTTAAATCCACTGTTTTTTCACATTTCACACCCAGAATTATAACAACAAGATTTTCTTAAAAACGTAAAACTGAAATATAATAATGTATTCAGAGCTCACTCCGCAGGCTGCTCAGTTAAAGCAGTTACTTTAGCAGTGATTACATCAAGTGATTACAACAAGTGTTGATGGGTTAGTACTAGCAGCTCTGATCTCTGACCTTCAGTTTTCTCAGAAGTGCAG